ATTGGGCATAGGAAGTCAAATGGCACTGCTGGCCTGGAAAAGCCTCCCCAACCCTGGAGGGGCCCTGGGTGGCTATGGGGGAGGGGCAGTACAAGTGCTGTCTGCCAGTGCCTGTCTTACAAGGAGCTGAAATGGCCAGGCAGTCATACCTGACCTCACTCAGACACCAGATACAGGCAACCCTGGGTGAATGGCTCTCTGCAACTGGAGCAGACCCTCAAAGAGCTGACAGGTAGAGGCTCTCCGCTGACCATACTTCCCACAGCCAGGAAAGTCCTTCCTTGAAGGGGATTCTGGGTGACTCATCTGTCTTCCACACCTCCTCAACTCTTTCTTGTAGGAGGGGCATCTTGCTTCCCATCAGAGAGGCTGAGAAGCTGTTACTGTAACTTCTGCACTGCCCCAGGCCACCTTTCTGTACATGCCCAGACCTCCCAAATGTGCTCTAAGTCCCCCTTTAAATTATCTATGGATATCCTGGTCCCCAAATACCCTCTCTAAATACGGTCTGCACACTTGGCCTTGGTTCTTACTGGGGAAACGGGCTTTGTCCAACCTTAGGAATTCACAGGATCGGGCAGAGGAAGAATTAGGGTGAGGGGGTGTCGGGGACAAAAGAATTTTGAAAAGCCTTGGTCTCGGTTTCCAAAACACACTGGTGAGAATCACAAGGGCAGGAAACATTGTTTCCTGCTGCTTGTCTTTACTCATTCAATATATCTATACTTTGGGCCAATTATGTGCCAGGCCCTGAGCCAACAGTCTTATACCATCTGCAGTTTCAAATAGGGAGAGGCAACACCCTGAAGTAATAGAGACAGACCCAAGATTTGGAGCCCTGTCTCTGACCTTGGCTGCTCTTCACCACTCTGACTCTCAGTTTCCTCCTCTGGACAAGGGAGTAATACAATTTCTGGAGCACCATGTTAAATGCTTCTCACCTTGAACTTCATTTCACCCTACCAAGCAGGTACCACTATCATCCCCATGTTACAGGTATGGAAAGAGGAGTCAGGGTGAAGTGAACTTGCTCAAGGTCACACAGGTAACTGAGCTAGGCTTTGAGCCCAGACAATGTAGCCCAACACTGCGTTTTAATCCTCATTAAGATCAGGGTCAAACTGGTGTCCCCCCGGGCGAGGTGTGCCTCACACATTGCATTTGGTCCACAAGGACTTAAAAATATTTGTATCAGCTTTCATTTTGAAATTGAGATGACCACAGAAACATCCACTTTCCACCTTCTCTTGAAAAATCTAGACACCTGCCACTGTGGGCTGCAATCCCACAGGGTCACAACTGACAGGTGAGCAGCCCTACCCCTTGATGTGGGTCATGAAGCCAGTGTCCACCCAGACTCTCATTCATTTATGTTACTTGCCTGGCCCCTGCAGGAATGGGTTTGCCATCCTTAATGAAGACCAAGGAGTCCTGAGATAGAGGGAGACAGAGGCCTGGAGGGGCCAGGTGACTTGTCCTGGAACCCCCAGTTCTTCCTGGATGGTGCTAAATCAAAAGACTTGAATCTGGCAAACTGGGAAGGGTTGAGGAAAGGCACAGACATGTAGAACCACAGGGCGAGGTAGGGGCAAATACACTTTATTCAGTCCTGGCATCAGACTGGCATAAATCCTGATGTGGGTGCCAGTGCCCCAGATGGGAGGGATCCCTCCTCTCAGCTACTAGACTAGTTCTCCAAGACCACAGACAATGACATCTCTTCACTCACATGACGTTTTCTGGGGTTTTTCATTGTCTTTTTGTTGTTGTTTTACTTAAAAAAGAGAGAGAGAAAGAAAGAAAAAGAGAGAGAGAGAGAGCGCGAGAAAGGCCCAGAGCCGGAGCACCAAGCGTAAAGGAGGCAGCTGGTGGCTTTGTCAGCGACGGGAACGCGTGGGGCAGAGACCAGCAGAGACCCTGGGCAGGGGTCCCGGAGGACTCTGGGACCGTTTGTTCCTGAGATTTGTGTGTGTGAATGAGAGTGTGTGCACACCTGGAAGGGTGAACACACGCCGGTG